TACGGTGCCTTTCTTTATGGCGGAAGGAGATCAAACTGGATGTCTTTCTTCCAACATTATGATTCCATGGTTGTAAAAATGTCCACTTAAAAATGAACCTAGTCCAATTGCATGGCTCTATGTGATGGGATCAAGGGAGTTGTAGTTTCAAAAAGTCTGCACCTTTCCTTCCAAAGAGTTCTGGTGTCCCTTGAAACTGCAAATCCCATCCTCGGAGGTTAAAGGGGTGCCAACCTGTGCATTCCTTGGACAGCATGGATGCACATAGATGGATTCAGGGGAGTTTTGGGGGATGTTGGCAGCCTTCTTTCCTGTCGTTGGGTAAGTTTTTGTGTCCTAAGAGCAAACCGTTCTTTTCTTCTCTCTTTCTTGCTCAACGGCCCATTCTTCTCCTCCGTGTCTCGTTGGGCAACGTCCCCTTTGCTTGGGGAAACCTCTCCTTTGCCTGCATATAAATAAGGGGAGGTTGGGGACCCAGGACAAAGCGGACCATGGGTTGGAGAGGACTTCTCGTTGCGGCAGGTGAGTTGGAAGGGGAGGATACTGGTGGGGTTGGTTTTGTCATTTGGGAGTTGTAGTTCACCTCCATTCGAAGAGCATTCTGAACTCCACCAATGATGGAATTGAACCAAACGTGGCAAACACAACTCCGTGACAGACATCAAATACTGGAAGGGTTTGATAGGCATTGACCTTGAGTTTGGGAGTTGTAGTTTACCTACATCCAAAGACAACTGTGGACTCAAACAATGATGGATCTGGACCAAACTTGGCACAGATACTCAATATGCCCAAATTAGAACACTGGTGTGAATTGAACCAAAATTGGTAAACACAACTGACATCAAGTACTGGAAGTGTTTGGTGGGCATTGGCCTTGAGTCTGGGAGTTGTAGTTTACAATGATGGAGGTGGGCCAAATTTGGCACGGATACTCAATATGCCCAAATGTGAACACTGGTGGAGTTTATTTATTTATTTATTTATTTCCTATATTTGGGGCAAATAGACCTTAATAATTTGGAGTTGTAGTTGCTGGGATTATAGTTCACCTGCCACCTGGGCAGGGGAGTTGGTTTTATAATTTGGGAGTTGTAGTTCACCTCCATTCGAAGAGCATTCTGAACTCCACCAATGATGGAATTGAACCAAACTTGGGAAAACACAACTCCATCACCGACATCAAATACTGGAAGGGTTTGGTGGGCATTGATCTTGAGTTTGGGAGTTGTAGTCTACCTACATCCAAAGACAACTGTGGACTCAAACAATGATGGATCTGGATCAAATTTGGCACATATACTCAATATGCCCAAATGTGAATTTATTTATTTCCTAAAATAGATCTTGAAATTTGGGAGTTGTAGTTGCTGGGATTTATAATTCACCTACAATCAAAGAGCATTCTGAACTCCACCAACGATGGAATTGAACCAAACTTGGCACACAGAACTCCCATGACCAACAGAAATTACTGGAAGGGTTTGATGGGCATTGACCTTGAGTTTTGTAGTTGTAGTTTACCTACATCAAGAGAACACTGTGGACTCAAACAGTGATAGATCTGGACCAAACTTGGCACGAATACTCAATATGCTCAAATGTGAACACTGGTGGAGTTTGGGGAAAATAGACTGGACATTTGGGAGTTGTAGTTGCTGGATAGCAGGGTTTGGTGGGCATTGATCTGAGTTTGGGAGTTGTAGTTTACCTACATCCAAAGACGACTATGAACTCAAACAATGATGGATCTGGATCAAATTTGGCACGGATACTCAATAAGCCCAAATGTGAACACTGGTGGAGTTTGGGAGAAATAGACCTTGACGTTTGGGAGTTGTAATTGCTGGGATTTATAGTTCTTTGGGGTCTTCCTTGTCTCCCAGCCTTGGCCTCCTGCCTCCTGACAGCCGAAGCCTTGCGCCTGGTCCCGGAGCCTCCGAACCCTCGCTTGGGACAATCGGTCACTCTTTCCGTGCAGGACGTGCGGGACCCTTACATCTGCTTCTGGTTTCGTGGCAACGCTTTCCGCAAGGACCGCATGATCTTCCAGGTGGAGGTGGGCCGCATCGTGTCCAGGCAAGGAGGCTTCACCGGCCGCGAAAGCCTGGGCACGGACTGCGCCTTGGTCATCCAGAACCTCCAGCCTTCGGACAACGGGGAGTTCTACCTGATCGTGCAAGAAGGGCGGCCGGGGAGAAATGCACGCTGGACGGACGCCTTGCTGAGACTCCAAGTTGCCAGTAAGTATCCACGATGGGGGCATCTACAGAAGAAGGCCCTCCAGGAGTTTTGGACTTCAACTCCCACAATTCCTAACAGCCGGTAACAGTAAAAAAAAAAAGTAACAAAAATTATTCTAAGAAATATTCACCAAAATATTAATTAAAATACTGGCAGAAAATCTTCATAAATCTATTCATAGAAATATTCACCAAAATATTAATTAAAATACTGGCAGAAAATCTTCATAAATTTATTCATAGAAATATTCACCAAAATATTCAAAAAATAATCACAAAAATAATCATCGATATTCAAAAAAATATTCACTAAAATATTCGAAAATAATAATAAATATTCACAGAAATATTCACAAAATATTCATAAAATTATATATATATATAAATAATCAGAAATATTCAAAAAAATATTGATTAAATATTGGCAGAAAATCTTCATAAATATATTCATAGAAATATTCACAAAAATATTCAAATGAGTCGCAAAAACAATCATAATATTCACAAAAATAATGAAAAATATTCATAAAATATTCAAAAATAGTCACAAAAATAATACAAAATATTGAAAATATTCACAGAAATATTCAAAAATAGTCACAAAAATAATCAAAAATATTCACAGAAATATTCACAAAATATTCATAAAAATAATAAACACACACACACATATATAATTGGGAATATTCACAAAATATTCATTAAAATTTTTAAATATATAAAAATAATCAGAAATATTCACAAAATATTAAAATATTTGCTGAAAGTCTTCATAAATGTATTCAGAGAAATATTCACAAAAATATTTAAAAAATAGTCTCAAAATAATAAAAAATATTCACAGAAATACTCACACAATATTAATAAAAATTTAAAAATATATAAAATAATCAGAAATATGCACAAATTATTAAAATATTGGCTGAAAAACTTCATAAATCTATTCATAGAAATATTCACAAAAATACTCAAAAATAGTCATAAAAACAATCAAAAATATTCACAGAAATATTCACAAAATAGTCATAAAAATTTTAAAATATATAAAATGGTCAGAAATATTTAAAAAAATTCAATTAAAATATTAGCAGATAATCATAAATATATTCATAGAAATATTCACAAAATATTCAAAAGATAGTCACAAAAACAATCAAAGTATTCACAAAATATTCATAAAAATGTAAAAATATATAAAAAAATCAGAAATATTCAGAAAAATATTGATTAAATATTGGCATAAAATTTTCATAAATGTATTCATAGAAATATTCACATAATATTCAAAAATGGTCACAAAATGATAAAAAATATTCACAAAAATATTCACAAAATATTTACAAAATCAAATATATATATATAAAAATAATCAGAAACATTCACAAAAATATTAATTAAAATATTGGTAGAAAATCTTCATAAGTATATACATAGAAAAATACACAGAATGTTCAAAAATAATCCCAAAAATAATCAAAAATATTCACAGAAATATTCACAAAATATTCAATGTATGTGTGTGTGTGTATGTATGTATATATATATATCAGAAATATTCACAAAAATATTAATTAAAATATTGGCATAAAATCTTCACAAATATATTCATAGAAATATTCACAAAAATATTCATAAAAATTTAAAAATATATAAAAATAATCAGAAATATTCACAAAATATTAAAATATTCGCAAAACAAAATATTCACAAAAATATTCAAAAAATAGTCTCAAAATAATCAAAAGTATTCACAAAAATATTCAAAAATAGTCACAAAAATACAAAATATTTACAGAAATATTCACAAAATATTCATAAAAATTAAAAAGTATATAAAAATAATCAGAAATAGTCACAGAAATATTAATTAAAGTATTGACAGAAAATCTTCATAAATATATTCATAGAAATATTCACAAAAATATTAATTAAAATGTTGGCAGAAAATCTGCATAAATCTATTCACAGAAATATTCACAAAATAATACATACATATATATATATATAATCAGAAATATTCACAAAAATATTAATTAAAATATTGGCATAAAAACTTCATAAATATATTTATAGAAATATTCACGAAAATATTCAAAAAATAGTCACAAACAATAAAAAATAATCACAAAAATAATCAAAAATATTCACAGAAATATTCACACAATATTCATAAAATTTATATATATTTAATAATCAGAAATATTCTCAAAAATATTAATTAAAATATTGGCAGAAAATCTTCATAAATCTATTCAAAAATAGTCATAAAATAATTAAAAATATCCACAGAAATATTCACAAAAATATTCAAAAATATTCACAAAAATATGAATTAGAATATTGGCAGAAAATCTTCAAAAATATATTCATAGAAATATTCACAAAATAGTCAAAAAATAGTCACAAGCAATAAAAAATATTCACAAAAATAGTCACAAAAATAATCAAAAATATTTACAGAAATATTCATAAGATATTAATAAAATTAATATATATATATATATATAATCAGAAATATTAATTAAAATATTGGCAGAAAATCTTCATAAATCTATTCATAGAAATATTCACAAAAATGTTTAAAAAATCACAAAAATAATCAAATATATTCATTAAAATATTCACAAAAATATTCAAAAATAATAATATTTACAGAAATATTCACAAAATATTCATATTTTTAAAATAAATATATATATATAAATAATCAGAAATAGTCACAGAAATATCAATTAAAATATTGGCAGAAAATCTTCATAAATCTATTCATAGAAATATTCACAAAAATATTCAAGAATAGTCACATAAATAATCAAAAGTATTCACAAAAATATTCAAAAATAGTCACAAAATAATCAAAAATATTTACAGAAATATTCACAAAATATTCATAAAAATTTAAAAATATATTAAAATAATCAGAAATATTCACAAATTATTAATTAAAATATTGGCAGAAAATCTTCATAAATCTATTCATAGAAATATTCACAAAATATTCAAAAAATAGTCACAAAACAATCAAAAATAGTCACAAAAATAATAAAAACTATTCACAGAAATATTCACAAAAGATTCATAAAATTAAAAATATATAAAAATAATCAGAAATATTTATAAAAATATTAATATATTGTCAGAAAATCTTCATAAATATATTCATAGAAATATTCACAAAATATTCAAAAAATAATCACAAAAATAATCAAAAATATTCACAGAAATATTCATTAAATATTCATAAAATTTATATATATATATATATAATCAGAAATATTCACAAAAGTATTAATTAAAATATTGGCAGAAAATATTCATAAATCTATTCATAGAAATATTCACAAAAATACTCAGTCATAAGAAATATTCACAAAAATACTCAAAGTTATTCATAGAAATATTCACAAAATATTCAAAAAATAATCACAAAAATAATCAAAAATATTCACAGAAATATTAATTAAATATTCATAAAATTTATATATATATATATATATAATCGGAAATATTCACAAAAATATTAATTAAAATATCCAGACGAGGAACCTTCTCCCCTGCTGCTGTTGGACTACAACACCCAGCATCTTGCACCTCTGGCTATAATTTTCCTATGGCTGCAGTGAGTTGCAATCTGAAAATATCTCAAAACCTTGCCATAAACTCTCTATTTATTTGCAGACTGATCCAATGTCAATTCCTGAGGAAGAGTGAAGATTGCAGTTTGGCTCCAAAGACGTCAAAGATGAAGCGTCGCTCCAGTTTCCTGCATGTCTTTCCTTTGCTTTGTGTTCTTCTTCCTTGTCTCGAAAAGTGCAAGAAAGAATATATATATAGATATATCTCTTCCATTAAAAAATACATCTTGGAAATGTGTATGAGTGTGTATTATTACTCTTCATAAGATCAGAGGAGCCTCTCTGAACTTGGAAACAACTCCAAATTGCAATGCAACGTTGCAGCATTTAGCGTAACTTTTCAGAACTCTCTCTTTCCTCCAAGCTTGGTGTACCTCAAATTCCAAAAGTCTTTACAAACTATTTAATACAGTTTCAAACCACATTCTATCAGGGCAGACTCATATAGTGCAGTCTAACTTGCATTT